GAAAACTACTACACAAATTCTTGCTATCTGGTATTTAACACTCGAACACAGGATATCTAGATAAGCGTGTGTTGTCGAGAATGGTGTTTCAAACGATGTGTTTATGTGGGTTTCAAGTAGACACTGATGGCCATATCAGCTTTCTTGCTAGCTTAGTTGGTGCTGCTCTAATTTGTTCATTGAAAAGGGGTGGGGGGGGGGGGGTGATTACTAGAATAGTGGATAGAAGAAAAAGAGGAAGCAGAAAGAAAGAGAGAGAGAAGAATGTGAAAATGGTTCATAATCACAGCAAAAGGTAAAACGTAAACAATAGACAAAGCAGGAATCAGAAAAAAAATAGAATAAGGGGGGGGGGGGGAAGTGGGGGAGGTGGAGGAGGCTTCATTTTCTAGGAGGGTTTGGGGCTTGGGAGGTCTTCTTATTTAGCCGCGTAATAATAATAATGATGTGCTGAATGGCAAATAATATAATAATATAATCACAAAACATTAAATGTATGTTTTAAAAGTACTTAAAACGATAACTATAGTCCGTTCCATAAATGTTGCCCAACTTTAAAAATATGTAACGCCGTAACCGTTCGGTGTAGTTTGTTCAAATTTGGCATTTAGCTTATTAGTAATCATGCCCTTTCCTTCGTGTGTGTTCCGGGTCCTCATTATGGATAAAACAAGAACAGACCCACTGCCTACCTAATAAGCATGTCGAAAGAGTCGACTAAATGGGAGCTTCCTTCGCAGCCTGAGAGGCAAAGAACCAGCAGTCTTTATACATGTAAGCTAGATCTGTTAAAAGGATGTACACGAAACACTCAGGTTCTGGAACAAGACTTAAGTCTGTAGGTGGAAAGTCGAATGTGTTGGCCTAAAAGGTGAAAATATCGCAGATATGCTGTAAACAGAGACAAGGCAATTACATCTTGGGATGAGCGAAGAACAAGAAGTAGAAGAATCCACGGTGAGGTTGAATTTTTTTTTTTTTTTCAATTCTGCCTCCCACCCACCAACTCCCCTCCATAAGAAAATCGTAATCTGCACAGTTCGTGGCGACAGTACTATCCATGCAGCCGTAAATCCATGGGATTTAATGACCCCCCCCCCCTCCCCCCCCCCCCAATCCCCGACTTCTCTGCAAAAGTTGTATATGCAGTCAGTAATGGCAGTTTCTTTGGCAGTATATACTTCACAAGCTCGTATAATTTAAAACAATAGAGCCTCGGAGTTTTATGTGGCTTAGGGCGTCATCAAGTTTAACTAAGAGAACTAACCTTCTCAAGCAAACCCAAAAACCCCATCTAAAGGTCTGATTTGGGCATCCCGTGTTAGGAGATTATTTTGTCTTACTTGTTTAGGGTTGATATGTTTTATAAACATTTCCCAAACCGTAGTAGTTTTCTCCGCGTTACAAAATAAAGGTAAATAATTCATGCAAAATAATGTAGAAACGAATTGCTTTCCTTTGAAATACATGGAAATGGTAAACATGTACAATAAAAATCCGAACATCTAAGCCATATCATGTTCTTTTTTTTTTAAAAGAGATGTTTTGATAAACAAACGTCTTTAGCTAAAGTAACAACTATAACAATAACAGGGGCAACTACAACAACACGAACTATAGTAGCAGCATCAGCAATAGCAGAGTCAGAAACCACAACGTACAACAGCATCAGCAACGTCAATAACAGCGTCAGAAACCACAACGTAAGCAGCAAAACACCAGCATCAACAATGACAAAAACAGTATCAGCCAACAAAATGTAAGCAGGGAAACAACAATGGAAATCTATCGCCTAACCTTAAACGAGTTAAAATCCGTGTCCTGTGCTGGTCATGCTACATGTTTTAACCCGTCGACTGTTAACATCTGAGGTTCAAAACTATACTCCTCATTAAAAGTCCCAGCTCTGCTGATCACTAGTAACCCGCATAAATGTATCTTGTCTCAATAAACAAAGCCAGACTGAGGACGTACCTACATGTATTCGAAATTATTAACTTCCAGATCAGAATGTAGACTGTGAGATCGGAAAGTACCGTAGATTATGAGATCAGCAAGTACTCGTAGATTGTGGGATCATAAAAACAAACACCCAGTTTCCCTTAGCTGTATGGTGACATCGTTGGCTACCCGTGACTAGCTTGCTGAAGATAACAATACGATAACGGAAGAAGACTTGCTCGACCACAGTGACTTGTCAGACGATGTCAGATGGTTTGCTGTTCACACGTGGATGGAAATATAATATACAGGCAGAGCCATCATCCCTATCTAGTGACATATATATTTTTTCTCACGAATATTACAGGGATGTAGTTTTCTAAAGATATAAGTCTTGCAGTAAACTAGAGTAACCGTGTAGAGTAGTGAATATACACGGCTAATCATGGTGCTGTACCGTTATACACAGAAACAACATTTAAGGAACGAACGAAAGAACGAATAAACGAACGAATTTTTTTGCAAAAAGGGTAGTTAACTGGACATGCAATCCTGTCTTATATTTGACCCTTCCAAACACTAATCTTTAACGCATTGCATAAGTAGACATACTTTGTTTACAGCAAAATACATAATATAAATTCGGAAAGTAACAACATAAAGGCATATATGGCTAATACATACATTCAGACTCACACACATACAGACAGACACTCATGTCACGTAACAGCAGTAACTTCCCTACCACAGTAGACCTGCCTACAGTCTGGACACCCCCCATACTATTTAGTGTATCTATAATCTCGGATAGTCCGTCCGTAAATAAATAGTTCGTTTGTTGACGGGGAGTCCAGCTGTGAGAAACATATATAAATTACTCCTAAATTAATTCTTCTTGACGTATAGTGTCAGTATGCATGACACGACACGTTTTCTGCGCCTGTTTAAGCTTGATAGTTTGACCGCTTCACTGCGAGCTTGACCCGTATCCTTGCTCAACGGCTGTAGTCAGGGACTAAGATTGTACACGTCACTACAACTCAGTCCGTTCAAGTGGATAAATGTGTTTTAGCACTGTGGCCACTTAACCGTTAAAAAAAGAATCTATGTTCTCTGACAATATTCGTCTGCATAGGTGAGTATTTCTTAAAGGAAAAAATATATATATATTTGTGCTCAGTGCCTGTATGTGTTTGCGAGAAAAGGTAAGGAGGATGATAACGCCGAATCTCCCTGTCCACGATCGCATTCGACGAGGGACGATAGAAACGCTGGAGTGAATGAACTTTCGGCTGATATTTTTTCGTAAATTCTTCTAGCCTGCGTTCTAAACCTATTTGGATCGATCAATCCACCTGTCTGGAGTGTAATTAATGTCTTGAGAAACTTGTATGATCTGATATTATCTTTTAATTGGTCTCTTAACTTGATTAGTTGGTTGACCGTTGAGAAGGGGCAGGTGCTTTTCTAGGAAAGCATAACGTCACATCCGCCGTTGCTAGGAGATAATGTTACCAAAACAAACTCAGCGTTTGAAAAGCTTTTAGGGTCTGTTCTTCTATCTTGTCTTTAATATCCATCTTATCTACTTTATCTTTCCTACTGGTGAGGGGGGAATGGGAACAGATAGGGATCTGTCTGGCTATCGCTACGAAACAGGATTCAGAAACTGTTAGAATCAATAGAAACATCTGACTAACTATAACTCACTCTGAGGAACTAACTGTAAGTGCTCTCGAGATAGACGAAGTCAACATTAATGATGTAGACTAGCCCACATTTACCTCTGAGCATTTATGGAGATCGGGAGGAGTATGATTAGCAGGGTACATTAGGTGAGGTTCGCTCAGGTGTGTTGCCTTGCTATTTGCGGGATGTTGGAAGATCCAGCGTGTGTCTGTGCGGTAGCCCGGTTCTCCAGCTAACTATCTACTGGGGAGAAACCAACCAGTATTGATCTGCCATTGTCTCCTATACCAGGCAATTTGTGAATTCGACGGCAACAAGTCTCTAAGAAGTCTTGGTCGTCTTTCCATCGGTCCCTGGGAAGAATCATCGTCGTGCAGAGATACTGCAAGAATCGAGACGTAGCAGAGATCCACCATTCGACACACTGAGGAGCTGCAGTATCCAGCGCAGATAAGTTGATATCGATAAGGAACACTTTAGCAGCCAGAACCCGAAGGCGCCCAGTAATCGGAAATGACAGTGACAACCGAGGGAGACCCGTTCTCTAGTCTCAACTCTTTGAGAACATTATGAACTATAGTTCTGTTTATCTTTGTTCCGTATTTAGTCTTCCTTTATAATAGAGAAATTATTACATTATGTTTCTTGTTCACAAAATTTCTTGGAAGAAAGTTGTCTCGTTAGAATCATTTGTCATAGTCAGAAGTGTATTCATGTTTTGTTAGACTTACTGTTGTTTATATATTTGACTGTGTTAACATTGTTTACTAGTCTGGAGGCAAAATTAGTCATGAGGATGTTTGGCCGAGTTGCACCATAGAGTTTGTATTAACTTTGTGGAGTCAGAGCTCGAGTCACCTTATTCCTGAGACAGGCTGAATGTATGTTTGAATCGAGGACTTGTCCTCTAGTTAAACAAGAGCCAACATTCAAAACACCACTATCTCAGAGTACCTGAAAATTTTGGGAAAGTAATCAAGAAGTAAAGGTACGTGACGAAACAGCCATACGACAACTCATACGCTTAATACTCAACTACACACACTCATGTACACATGCATACATGCAAATAGGCACCAACATGTTACAAATATACATTTGACGCTCATGAATATACACACACACATTTATTTTCAAACTACGCCGTTCATCGGAATCGTCGCTTGAGTCTAAGAGTTCATGATGTTTATCTTATAAGCAGCGCTTACAAGTTCTGCAGAGAGACAAAGAGATCCATAGACAAAGAGAGAGATTGTGAGAGACAAAAGAGACAGAAAGAGTTTGAAGGGGTTAAGCCTGTGAATACGATACACTCTTTTTTAAATCGGTTATGTTATAGATATCGCTGTCTTTTTTTTTTTTTTTTTTTCTTATGGCATCACAGGATTTAAGAGTATGCGAGCTGGGAAATGATGTCCATAATTGACCACCCATTCACGTGGTTTCTGCAGATCATTCTTGGCCCTCATTTCGCTGACCATTTGCTTAAGTCCTCTGGTCTTGTCTTTGATAGTTACCCGGGCTCGATTAGATTCTTCAATTTGAAATTTCGTCGGCAGGCTGCCTCTTCTGTCCAGTCTGGGCCCTGGAAACGATGGTCTCATGCCTAATTCGTTCACTGCTCGAATCTTTAATTCAGCCATATCTTTACTAAGAATTAGATTTGATGTAAGAATTGACGTTTTGTGGCTAGGGTTTTGCAAACCAACAGTGACTGTTAAGTTAGGGTTTGGAGACGTTTGACTTCTGGATTTCTGAGGAACTTTTAAATGTGTACTAAAGTTTCCAGTTGAGGAATCACTTTCCTCACCTGTAGCAATAATCCCGTCGCTGCTTCCTTGGCCAAGTGTATGGTAAGTTTTGGGTGGGACACAAGGGAAATGTCTGCAATGACAAGCTTGGGAATTTGGACTGTACTTGCACAAGATGTCACTCGACAGTTCGGCTACCTCACCCGGTGTTGATGTTGTCAGTGTAGATGAATCAGGAATAGTCGAAGCATTGTTTGCTACAGATAAATGTGAACCATGGCTGTTTTCTGACAAGATTTTGTGATATCTTGAGTTATCAGGTGGAAAGGAAGATAGTTGCTTGTAGTTGTAAAGGACTTTAGCTGACAGCATACTAGCGTCTTCGTGTTTGCTGCTACGTCCCTTCGTAGAATCGACCCCATTCGCAGATGTGTTTTTAGAAAGGCGGCTTGCTACGTTTGGATTATTATTTAAAGATTGTGGCGGATTTTTTGATGAGTCTGGACAAATTACCAACTTCTTGTTTTCTGTCTGCAATTCTTGTTTCTTGTATGAGTGTTTCTCTGAAACAATTCCCGTATGACGTGAATAGTGGAGAACATGTTTCTCTTCCACAGGAGGATGCAGATTTAGTGTCGGAACTATGGTCTTTGAAGACTGATCTTCGTCGTAATTGCTGGCAACATCTTCAATAACCTTCAGCTCTGACTGAACCCTGTCAGGATAGAAAATAATATTGTAAATAGTACGCAAAATCACTACATCTACAAATGTTTTGCCTTCACATAGACTTGCTGAATGTCTGAAAAAAAAAAACCTATATATGCGGAGTGATTAGTTTGGTATCAGGACTGTTAGTACTTCGTCTTCTCTAGTCCTGTTCTTCTTAGCGGCGTCAGTTTTTGAAGAGGTATCGGGTGCTTCTTTGGCATTGACGGCCTCGGATATTCCCTCTTTTCATCGATTACGTGGTTAACCTCCAGAGCTGCTTCCATCATATCTAAATGACGGGGTTCTTTACGGTGCACTATCCGGTTGTAGTCTAGACACATGTTTGAACAATTAGATTGTTGTCTTTTTATGTAATTTAATACTGGTTCCGGTCAGCTGCTTTCCTGATAAGGTCATTTATGATGCAGTCTCTTCCAGTTACATTTAGGATTCGTCGTAGACATTTCGTTTGTGATGTTTCAACGCTGTTTTTTTTTTTTTTTTTTTTTTCGTTATTAATGCCCACATTTGGCACTGGTTACACATTTAAGAAAAAATATTGTACTGAATCGTGTTGTGCAAACGTTACATGTTTATTCTGGAGAATTGAGACAGAGTGTTAGAGACAGACGAGATGGTGAACATCTTTAGTCACAGACTCAAAATTGAAAATAATCATATCAACTTTCGTTTCAAATGATCAATGTTCCTAAACGTCTGCAGATTGTCCGAGTCAACAAACAAAATGACTTGACATGCTTGTAAGGATAACCCTTTTTCCTTGTATTGTTATTATATTATATGTTTATCCCTGTTTATAATACAAAAACATCGTAACACTTCACACAACAGCACAACAGGTTATATAACACAGTGTTTGGAATAAAACTTCTTAGTTAGTGGCGACAGCACTAGCTCTGCGTTCCTACATCCTCAGGCTCAAAGACTCCCCTGCCTACACATCACTGGCACCTTTCCGTCTTTCCAGACGATGGTGTTATTTTGCGCTATGAGGAGGCATGAGACTCACAGCCCGTGGCGATGGCGAGTGTGACTAGCAGGCCCCGCCCGTGTCAAGAAGAGTCTTCCACAATGATAGCCTACACAGCAGAAATGATAAATACAGGCAGTAGTGGCAATGGTGGGAGCTGCCGCTTTGTTGCGGCTAGGCACTCGCCTGTTGACCAAAAGGTCGCGTGTTCAAATCCTGACGGTAATAGAATTGAAAAAAAAAAACATGACATTGGCTTCCAGGTCGTCCTAGCCTTGAATGAGTACCAGATGGAGTTCTGTAATGTAAAGGCGGCCGGCGTAATGCTTACCGCATCTCCCACCAAGTGACGCTTTGTCTATAAAATATAGGGCTAGTCCTCTATGCCCAGTACGTCTGAAGGCGTGGAAAAAGTACTTTACTTAAGAGCAATACCGAAGAGTTTCTAACTGAAACTGCCGTATATCCACTGTCAAAATAATGTTAAACTGTTTAGTTCGCTGCGCTGGTTCCGATCTTATAGCAAGAAGTTGTGAGTTGTACAGCTTCTGTCATTGTCAGATGCTGGGAATATAACTGCTTTTTGACATTCCTCAAACTTCAACACACATTCTTTTACAGCTGAAGGTTAACCAGGGTAGTTTCAGGGCTATTATTGTGCATATGTATTTAAATAACAAGGGTCGTGGTGAAGTGGTCGTGCACTTAATTACCAACACTGGTGAGGTGGGGTGAGGTGAGGTGGGGTGGGGTGAGGTGGGGTGCAGTGAGGTGAGGTGTGGTGAGGTGAGGGACTGGGAGTTCTTCATGATTCAGTTGTCAATCTATTTGCCTCGCGCTAAGAAGGTCGTGGGGGTCGTTTCACGGACGCGTCGTTTAGGTCACGGGTGCAGTACATTTGGAGGTCATTGTAGCTCGTCGCCCGGGGTACTGAGTTAGTGCTTTGTGTAACTGTATCAGCAGGCAACTGAAACGTTCTGCGCACAGAGACCAAGACATATGGGATAAAACTTGTTGCTATGGAGTGGATTCTCTCGACTTTAATATGAACTTACTCTAAACAAACGAGGAAATTGTTTCCGCTGCAAGATAGACTACTCTCATTGTCCACGGAGATTCACATAACTGCTCGATTTCCTCCCTTTGATGACACCAAATAGGACCACTTTCATAGCTTCAAAATATCAACAAGCACGCACACACGCAAGCACACACACACACACACACACACACACACACACAAAATATATATATATATATATATATATATATATATATATATATATATATATATACGCACACACACAAACACACATACACAAACAAAACCAGCTTTTCGTACCAATTTTGTGTTGTCAACGTCATACATGGACAGCCATAGAAAAACATAAATGAAGTAAAAAAACATATATATACTTACGTCCTTTTTAGGACGTAATTTTTTTTTATTTGAAGCCCCACTCTGGCTTTTGCCAGGGGCCGCAATATAGGCAGGCCACAAATATGGCCAATTGTCTGAACGCGGTTTCTGGGACCTCTCCACTGTGATCCTCATCCACATGGTGGCACTTTGTGTCTTTGGGTGTTTATCGCTTGTGTGATGTCCTAGTGGGGTAGAAAGTCAGTAAGTCAGTTAACTAATAACAGCGACAGGCACAGTACTAATAAACGATTTCACAGAAGAAAAAAAAATTGAAGTGTTTGGTTATATGGTTCGAATTGACTGAAATCAGCCAGCAGCTAGAGCGTAGTACATAAGAACAGCGGGCTACAAGGCAAGACGCCGACCAAGAAAGATACGGGTGGAAGGAGTAAAAGGACACTAAAGAAATTCAATATGGCATCAACACAAGCTACGCAAATAGTAAAAGACAGGAGACTACATCTAAACCCTCATTGAGACTCTTTTCGGCATAAGCAGTGGGACACAAGCTGAAGAACAGGATCACACGAAGAAACTTAGCTGTGTGCATCCCAACATTGAACAGTAAGAGGATCAGAATAAAAATAGATATACATATTAACTTGATTGTCGTGAAGAGGGCCGGATTGAGACTTGATGAGTGTCCTAAAGTATGTAAAGCCCCGGGGATCCTTCCATTTTAAATCACAACCAGTTAATCTAAAAAAAAGTTAACATGTTTGTGAGTTAACAAAAGGTGGATATTGACGCATATTATGCTGATTATTTCATTCAATTTAAATAGGCTACAGGTTATAATAAATAAGAGGCTGAGATAATATTCGCAAAACATATTTTAAAGAAATCAAAATCACAATTTCTAAGAGCATGCATCTTCCCTGTAGCAACATACGGATGTTAGTCGAGACTGTCTCCCAGTCCATAAGAAAGAAAATAGGGGCTTTTGAGTTGAAATGATGTAGAAAGCTTCTCGGAATACCTTGCTCAAAGAAGAGAAAAAAAATACTCAAATGTATAAAAGATCGGAAAAAGCAAGTAAGACAGGCGGGAAAAAAGCATCTTGGCTCGGAAGCTGAAATAGTTTGGTCATATCAAGCGCCACGACGAATTGGAAAATAATAGTAGCAGAAGGCATGGTACCAGGAAGGATGATCAGGGACCGACCGACACGAAAATGATCACAGGATATAAGTGACTCCTTGAGTATGAAAGTACATGAGGCGGGAGACCTTGCGAGAGACCAAGTTTCTTTCAGGCAGACCCTGATGAGAGCGATGTTCGGCAAAGGACCTGATAAATGACGATATATATATATATATATATATATATATATATATATATATATATATATATATATATATATATTTATAAATATATATATATATATATATATATATATATATATATATATATATATATATATATATATATATATATATATATATATATGAAGTCCTTACAATAGTGAGGCCGAAAGCTACAGCTCATGCGTAAATGTAGGCCTGTTTGTGTATGTTAACCTCACCTGGACTTCACTCTCAGGTACTGCCTGTAGTCACGATTGAACTTCTGCTCCATGTACTTCAGTTTTTCTTCCAGCATCTTGGAGGCGGTGTTGTTCTTCCTGCGAGCCAACAGAGAGTGCTTCTCAAAGTTCTTCAAGTGCCTTGCCATGGATGCTGAAACACAACTCGACGTATTAGTTTTGCTGGAATATCAAACTTGTTCGTCTGCCTTCTCCTTTGACAAGGCGGCTGCCTCATTGTGCTGTGAGCGAACGAGCGAACTTTAATTTTGAAATAATTAAATATAGGACATGCAGACCCGTATTACATTCTGCCCTTTCGGCCTACCTCCTTGAATACATTATTCCTTCATACATCAGTTAGCATAACAGTAATACACATCATCATCCAATTATTATTCCCAATTGCTAGGATAGGCTCTAGGTATACCTTCATGTCTAGTCAGTTACAATGCAAAGTGTAATCAGTGTAATAAGTATAAAGGAAACACACAATATGTTTCAAACAATTATCTTTCAAGTGGGCATTTAGTTTGTGCTCAGATCATCTTAGTTTTCAGCTAGGCCGTGAAACCTGCGCCGTTGGGCTTAACACATCTGATTTTTGCAAACGCAAAAGAAATCGCCCTGTACGACATGTTTTTTTCTAATTTAAATAAGGTAAAGAGCAGTTCACCTACCCTCTGCCACCCCACTCCACCCTTCAATCAAAGGCCACGAGACACCTGCCTCACAGGCCGACCCAGCATAAAATGTGCACCAAGCAACACTTTGGCACTAGATCAGAAAACCTATTGAGCCGTATTTGATACATAGAAATATGAAGCTAGCCTTATGACTCCAATATATTCCAAAGATCATAAAATAGTTATGTACATAGTGCTTTTATTTTAGTTCCTTTGTATGCGTGTGTTTGTGTATGGGTGTGCATGTGTGTGTGTGTGTGTGTGTGTGTGTGTGTGTGTGTGTGTGCATGTGTTTGTGTGTGTTTTCAGTACAATTTTAATGTAACATGTGAAACTTATTTACATGTAATGTGCAAAAATCAAATAAATGATCCACATGTTCTCTACTTGGGGCGTTATGGAGACATAGAGTATTTTTACTGGCCAATTAGCGCCCGGTCAGTATTATGCCGACTGCGTTTATTTCCCAAAACAGTTCATAGTACCCATTCTAGGGTGGGTAAACCTTCGGGACACGTTAATTAGTAACATTATCAAAATATCACCAATGGCATTATGATTTTGTCACCAAGTTATATCGTCATTTTGATTACATAACCTGCAAGTAAAGCTTGGTGAAGCATGTCTTCATGGCTAAGACAGGAGTCAAAATTACGAAATTATCATGGGAACAATCAGTAGAGTTAACTTGGAGTCGCTGTTGCAACGCAGGACCAAGCACATATGACAAGGCTCAATGATCGACTGTGATAACATTATATCCATACCACGTAAAACTTTATTATGCTGTCATAAAAAGTCAGTATAATAGCCGCATGTAAAACCACTATATTATCAACGCGTTAAATAACCATGCCACCAGGCAAAAATCATCATAATTCCTTCATGTAAAATTATTAAAATTTTACCGCTTGAAATCAAAACGTGTAATCAGTAAAATTAGTGCTAAATTAATTTCTACTAACAGTTGAAACTATACAAAATTATCTGTACAAGTGAGTACCATAATTTTAAATATATTATTAGTTCTCCATATGAAATTCAACTTACTGTGTGATGAATTAGCTAAGAAATAAACCCCGACGCCAGTTACTTCTTTCAAATTAGAATTATTTTTGTGCCATTATAGTTATTTTATCAATGAAGACCAAAATCACAGCAGCTGTAAACCAGGACCAGGAAACAAACAAGTCAAGAAAGAAACATACTTTATTTCCAATACAACCGTTGCTGAATTTGTGTAATTGGGTCTGTGTGTTCTCTATGCTGAAAAACGAAAACACCCAACCGTGAAGTGGTTTTTGTCTTGTGTTGGACCAAAGCAATAGGGCTTTAAATACCCTCCGCGAAGGTCACACAAGTTTATTAAATTTTGTCAACACAATAAAATTAGCCGACCAGAATGTTGTTCCGCCTTTGGGGAGGGTGGTGATTAATCTTCTAACAAAGAATTCCAGCGGTGTTTTCCGACATAGGTGTTGGAAGTAACGTTCACAGGCAGCTAACCCCACTTAAGCGTTGATGTTGCCGGGCAGTTTGGACTTATGTACCCCTTGGAATGGTATCAAAGCTGCTCTTAACTCTTTGAATCCCAACAACTGTTACTACAATATGTTTTCTATTTCAAACTGGGTGCACTTTAGAGAACCAAACTTGCAATCTTAAAGAGTTAAAAAAAGTGTAATAATGCAGGTGCGCCGACACGAAAAAAATATTCGAGGCACTTAGGTTCTTGAGTGCACCCACACAAAAGATATTCAAGTGGGAGGAGCTCAGCTCCAGGCCCCTCCCCATAACCTGAAAATTGTTAAGGGAACTTAGATGCCCCCTTGAACCATATACAAAAATTATCCGTTCCGTATTTACTTCTATATTTCATTTGATGTACTTGAAACATGTTATATTCATTTGCCATTCGGCATACTATAATTATTAATATTTTTAACGGCCGGCGTAATGCTGACCACATTAGCCACCTAGTGCCGACAGGTCTGTAAAAATATGGGTACTCTTCCCATGCGCCTGAAGGCGTGAAAATGGATCTTTCCTTTACTTTACTTTTAATAGTATTATTAGGCACTAAAGAAGGCTTATTAAATTGAGTCCATCTGAGCCCGTCAGCCGTAAGACAATTTGTAACTTTCTGACCACCCCCTCCCCACCCACCAAACTTCCAGCAATGTTGTAATTTTTCGTTGGTAATGTCCTGGGATGACAAGGCGGCTGGTCTGATGTTTACCATGTCTCGCATCTACTGCCGATACAAATAAAACTATCACTATACCTCCTATGCTCCAAGGGGCGTGAAATGATTCTGTATGTGTGTCACTTTACACTTGTGTGGTCGCAAATAACACTAGATCCGTTATGTTTTATCAAGCCTATTGATCATAAAGCTGACTGCCAGCCATTGGGCGTTGCCTGGTTGGAGTTTATTAATTTGAAATGGTCCTTCTACCCGGCGTTTCATGAAGTAGAGGAACTGGATACGGTGAAGTAGCTGAGTTTCGCAAACATAAAACCTGGCCAGCAAAACAGGATACCTTTTAACGCAACAAATCCTTGATAATCTGACTGATAACCACAGCGATATCTTAGCCTGAATGTTTATGAGACCCCACACGTTAGTCAGAACTATATTCGTGTTGTGTATTGACCGAAAAGAAGAGATTTAAGTTTCATGAGGGCCATTTTTAATTGAGACATGTGTGTACATATATATAAATGTGTGTGTATGTGTGGCTGGGGCATAAACAATCCTTACACGCACATGAGTGCTGCTTGCACTGGACCGGTATAGCCGTTACACATGGCTCTATGGTAACCTCTTTAGAGGTTGAACTGGATGTCTAGGATTTGCCCATTTGTCTGGCATCCAGACTGAGATTTTGTAACTTCAGACTGTCTAACCTTTAGATAGAGCTCCAACAAAATGTGCACATTATAAATTAAAGCTTTTTTTTTTCAAATCTCTCTCACAAATAGATCTGTGAGAAGGGGGGGGGGGGAGAGAGAGAGAGAGAGAGAGAGAGAGAGAGAGAGAGAGAGAGAGAGTAGTAATTCTATCGCTTGCAATTCTTTTCAATTTGGGAAACTGATAACTGGGAAAATGTGCTGAAAATGCCTTGCTTTTGTAATGTAATGGTTGTCAGTACCTTAGTGTTTTGCTTATGCATACGCATCATCGATGTTGGAAAGGCCGAATGTAAGACGGGCCTGTGTACCAAATTTGTGACCCTTTGAAAATGAAATGTGTTAGTTCATTCGTTCCTGATTATGTCTCCAAGTATTTTAAGGCTAACGACTCCTATTTTTTTCTGGCTGATGTAGCAGACAGTAGTTCTCCTGTGGTTATGGCACTCACTCTGTGACAATTTGGTGCAGTGTTTTCATTTGAGCTTCTCGTGATTTTGTGTACCACAAATGTTGAACTTTAGGTCCCTTGAGAGTTGTGTGACAGAGATTTTCCTGTTTCTCCCCTCACAATGTACGAACTCTTTAGATCCATCGACATCCCTACGAGTTTCCATAAAAGCTGCACTGGCGAACTACCGACATTCAGAGTATTGGGCAAACGGCTTAAACTACTTGACACCGGAGAACGCCAGGTCAAAGAGAGTTATCTTATCAAAAATCGTTGTTTAATTTCTGTAATCAAGTGTATAAGACTAATAAAACCGTATCTCTAATCCAAAGTCAATTTTTATTGTTGAGAGGAAGCTGACTGGTCTCAAGGCTTCGCATCCGCCTCGAGTGCTAGAGGTTCCGGATTCAGGCTCCTGTACAGGCTGTGGTTTTTTTTTTTTTTTTTTTCATTTGGACTTCTAGAAAATTACCTTGGTCTCTGGGTAGTAACATGGGACGCCGGTGTGTATTGTTTCGCAAGTAAAAAAATCTAGTGGCAGTTGAAAATAGAAAAGAGTAGCCTAAAGCCGCTGCTCGGGCAAAATTTAGAGTTAAAAATCTACATAAAGAATTTCAGGATCCACGCCTGTGCTAGAAAGTTCGTGCACTGCGCTGAGATTTTTCGGACTCAGACATTAGATAGAAGTAGAACGGAGCACTTACAAGTTACTATCCTTGTTTCCTTGATCCTTTGTATATATAAAACCATATACCAAAGAATGTAATGTATATTCTCAATATCTAATTTCCCAACTGAACTGTTGGACCTAATTTTCCTGATTAGTTCACGATTGTCATCTGTTTATTACAAGGACGTTGCAGAACCAACCCCAGCACTTTCTGGCTGTTGTGTTTTTTCTAGGCAAAATTTACATCCAGTAGTTTGCCATTGTCTAAACGGTCGGCTCACAGTACCACGGTCAAAACCATCGCATGACAAACCGTCCGCAGCAGGGATCGAACCCGGCACCCAGACATTACAAAGCGCGTTTGCAATGCCTAAGCCACAGACGCCGAGGTTTCTTACAAGGCTGTCTCAAAAAATGTTTTTTACGTCT